CAGTTGTTAAATAGTTTGACTCTCACTCTTGTATATAACCAAAAACTCCAAAGACATTTCTATAGATTCAAGGGACATGTACAAGGACATTCACAGCATCAAAATAGGAGGAAAAAACAGGCAGTCGTGGTGCACGCCTTTAATCCCAGCACTCAGGAGGCAGAGGCAGGAAGATCTATATGGGTTCACGATCAGCCTGGTCTATAGAGCGGGTTCTAAGACAGTCTCCAAAGCTACACAAAGAAACCCTGTCTCGAAAAACCAAAAAATAAACAACAAAGGAACAAAATAGGAGAAAAACGTAAAATATCAAAAAGTTTATCATCGAGAGAATTTATACATATTTTTAATTTATTTGCTTTTTAAGATAGGGGCCCCTCTAATCCTAGTTTAGACTTGAATTCTCTATGTAGCCAAGAAGAAGCAGGAGGATGCAGAGTTCCAGGCCAGCTTGTACTACAAGAGTGAGACACTTTCTAAGCAGGTCAATAAGATTAGATGTGAAATGAAGAAGTTGCTTTCATCAAGAGTAACTGAAGCCGGGTGTTGGTGGTGCACACCTTTAATCCCAGCACTTGGGAGGCAGAGGCAGGTGGATTTCTGTGAGTTCAAGGCCAGCCTGGTCTACAGAGCGAGTGCCAAGATAGACTCCAAAGATACACAGAGAAACTCTGTCTCGAAAAAACAGAAAAAAAAAGTAACTGAAATCCTTCTACTACTCCAATTTTCAGCTTCGGGAAATGAACTAGGGAGAGGTTGTATTTTAAATTCAAGACCTCTGTTCCTCCCTAACTGTTAAGGTGATTAATCTGTACATACTAGAAGTAACACTCCCAGACAACACCTAGGTTGCTATTTTCCTTAAGTGTTTTTCCTTTCTCCAGCCAATAGATTGGGTACAGAAGAGGATGCTTAAAAAAAAATCATGTTTGGAACTCTTCTGGGGGCAGATTTTCTGCGGCATTAACAGGAGGTCAATAGGGGTGTTCCTGTCCACAGTGTTTGGCTGATGAGGCAGCATCAGCAGCCCTTTGGAAGCTTGAGGAAATGTGGAATCTAGGCCACACCTTGAACATAAACTTTTATGAGAGTTCCCTGGGTGATTCCTAGGACAGTAAAGTTGCAGAGGCCCAGACTTTAACAGGCCTGCAGTTTTCATATCCCTTTTCCGCTGGTGAATCTGTGACCCACATATTTACAAGGAAGGCTGACTTCTAAAAGCATACTTATTTATTATTACTGTGTGTGGGTGTGGATTTGTGTGTGCCGTGGTGTGTGTGTGTGTGTGTGTGTGTGTGTGTGTATGGAGGTCAGAGGACAACTTTAAGGAGTTGTTGGTTCTTTCCTTCCACCATGAACTCTGGGGATTTAACTCACTATCAGGTCATCAGGATTATGTGGCAAGAGCCTTTACCCATTTTCCTGGCTAGGCTTAAGTCATCTTGACACAAGCTAGAGTCATCTGAAAGGAGGGAACCTCAATTGGGAAAATGCCTCCATAAGATGCTGCTGTAGAGCTTTTTCTTAATTAGTGATTGATGGGGGAGGGCCCAGCCCATTGTGGATGGTGCCATCCCTGGGTGGTCATGGGTTCTTACAAGAGGGCAGGTGGAACAAGCCAAGAGAAGCAGCCGTTAAAGAACACCCCTCTATGGCTTCTGCATCAGCTCTTGAGTCCGGGTTCCTGCCCTGTGTGAGTTTCTGTCCTGACTTCCTTTGATGATGGACTGTGGTGTGGAAGTGTAAGCCAAATCAACCCTTTCCTCCCCAGCTTGCTTTCTGGTCATGATGTTTCATCACAGCAATGGAAACCCTAAATGAGATACTCATAGAGCCATCTCACTGCCCTATGTTTCTAAGTTTTTGAGACATGTTTTCTTGTAGGGTCTCTTCATTTATGCTGGCCTTGGGCTCACTATGTGATAGAGGCTGGATCTGAACTCCTGATCTTCTTGCCTTTGCCTCCCCAAAGTGCTGCCAGTCCACAGTGTCTGACTAAGGGTGACTTTATCTGTGTATCTCTTTGTCAGCAATGGTATTGAACTCAGGCCCTTGTAAGTGATAGGAAAATGCTCTCCCATTGAGCTACGTGCCCAGTCTTTGTTCATTTAAAATTTACTTTTTCGGTTGCTTTTGAACTCACTATGTAGCCTAGGTTGGTCTTGAACTCTCAACTCTCCTGTCTCAGTTTTCTGAGCACCTGGGACTGCAGGTGTTCACTACCATGCTTGTTCATTACTTTTTTTCTCCTTCCGAATATACTTACTGGCTAGCTACTGTATATTTGTCGATAATGGCCCTGAAAATGAGTTGCTGTGACTCCGAAGGCACTTAAGCCCAGCAGGCTACAGATCCAAGTGCATCATTACAGCTTTAATAACTGTTAGGAAGACAGACAAAATTTTATGGGGAAAGAGCTGGAGATGGGCTGCCAAGAGATTCCTTTTGGGAGTAAGTTAAGTTTAACTGATAAGGCACAAACTTATGATGTGGGTGAGCCGTGGGGTTGTCCTAAGATCATGAAATATCACCTAACAGCTCTTGAGACATTTACGCTTGTGTTTCTGATCCTTGCACAGTGTTTGGCACACAGTAAGTGCTTAATAAGTGCTGAGTCAATGAATGTGTCATCACAGCTCAGGCACCTAATCTCTGGCATTGGAGATGGTGAAGACTTAATTTCTGTTTCAAAGGAAATAGGATCTCTTAATGGGTTGATGAGAAGGTAGACAGAAAGCTGTTTGTGCACATTGCTAAATTGAAACTATGAGTGGGAATGAAAAATTGATTCACATGAATTTTCATTCCTGTAGCAACTCAATTTATTCTGTACCAGAGAACTTTCAGTATTTGGCTTCAAAACCAAGCTGTTCTTCCTTGTTCTGAATTCTTGGCCTGCTGTGAAACTAGCATTTACTGTCTTTTACAGCATACCCTCATTAGGTCATGGAAATTCACAGCTAGATCAAATTGGTGTATGGAAAATTTGAAGCCTTCTACTGGGGATTTAGCTTTGTGTCTTTGGAAGCTGCTGTGGAATGTGGGCTTTTAAATTATGTTTCAAAAGCAATGCTAAAGAATAACTGGCATACTTTCTGACCATTTACTCTTCGTATTGCATGTCTCATGCTAACTCTCACAAGAGGTCACCAAACTATATAGTAGTTTCATGTTCAACTTAGATTTTGTTTGTTTGTTTGTTGGCTTTTTGAGATATGATCTCTCTATGCAGCCCGGGCTTGCCTGGAACTCAGTATGTAGGCCAGGCTGGCCTGGAGCTCAAAGAGATCTACATGCCTTTGTCTCCCAAGTGCTGGGACTAAAGGCATATACCACTGTGACTGGCTCAACTTACTTTTTGTCTTAAAGCTTTGGCCTTAGAAACAGGTTAAGGGAATGAGACAAGATGGGTCAGAGGGTATGGGCATTTGTTGCCAAGCCTGATAACTTGACAGGCAGTGAGATTCTAGAAATTCCTTTCTCCATGTTAGCCCAAGCATTTCATGGGTCTGCTTCTCTTGTGGCTATACAAATGTGGCGCTTCATAATTCTTCTCTCCTGGCACCAAATGGCTTTGTATCTGAGGATGACCTTGAACTTCTGACTTTTTGTATCGAACTTCCAAGTACTGGGACATAAGCTCACTAAAGTCAAGAATTTTTGTCTCTTGTACCCATGTCCCCAGCATCACGAATTGTCTTTGACTCATTGATCTATGAGTCAAAGTATCTAATTTTTTTTAGCTTAATGAGAGGTTTTTATTAGAAAGGGAAGGGGGGTGGAGTAAAGAGAAAAGAGGTAAAGAGACACAGACACAGAGAGAAAGAGAGAACAGAAGAGAAGAGGGAGACAGGAAAAGTCCTGTCTGCCCCAGGGAACAGCAGGAAAGAGATCAGGAAAAAAGAAAAACCTAAAGTATCTAAATTTTTAAAATTTTATTTATGTTTTTCAAAACAGGGTTTCTGTGCGTAGCCCTTGCTGTCCTGAAATTTGCTCTGTAGACCAGGCTGGTCTCCAACTCAGAAATCTGCCTGCTCTGACTCCTGAGTGCTGGGATTATCATTTAAAAATCAGATTCTCCTGTTTTACCTCCAAACTTCCACAGTAACTACAGTGCTCACACAGGATTTTACACATTCGCCTGAAAGGGCAAAACAAAAACAAAAACAAACAAAACAAAACAAAAAAACCTTTTTTTTTTTTTCCTCTTGAGACGGGGTCTCACAGCGCAGCTCTGACTGGCTCGAACCTGCCAGGTTGACTAGGTTGGCCTCATACTAGCAGAGATTTGTCTATGTCTGCCTCCTGAGTTCTGGGATTAAAGATATAAGCCACCACACCAAACTGAGTATTTACTCAGTAACTGACCAGGTACTTGGGAGTGTGTGCCTCCATTTTCTGTTCAACTTCGATGTGACTGGCGTGATCTGGTCTAAGGAATCGAAGCAGGATTTCTCCAGGAATTGAAGCTGGACCACCTCCTCTGTGGTCCACGCGTGGCCTCAGGGTCACTATTGTCCATCAGTTTCCCAAGCTGCTCCTGGAGTAGTGGCCCATCAAAGGTCGGTGACCAAGATGTCAGGACCTTAGTTGCCATCTTCTCAAGGGAGGTGGGATGGAAAAGAGGACCTCACTCTAGAGCTGAGAGAAGCCAGGTGGTGGGCGGAGGTGAGAGGCTTAAGGGGGAAGGGCGACCTTAGCCATTCGGGCTTTGGGCTTGGATGGCCACCCCGCTGAGGTGGCAGAGGACCCACAGCAGGCAGGGCTTCAGGGCGGCCCCTAGCGGGGAGAGCGAGCGCGGAGGTCAAAGGGCCAGGGCAAGCTCCGGGGAGCCCGCCACCCACCTCGGCCCCTCCTCTCGGTGGCTTGCCGGGGGGCGGGTTTTGTTTACTCCCTACACGCACCGCGGCCCGGCCAATCCGTGGAGAGCGTCGCCGCGCGTCACGCGTGTGGAGGACCAATCGGCGTGCACCGTGCTGCTCCGCCGCCAAAGCGAGCGAGCGCGGGGGAAGCGGCGCCGCGGCCGTGTCGCTGAGGGCGGACGGCGTCGGGTTCGCTGGGCTGTGCGGCCGTCGCCGCCTGGCACGCGGGGCGCGCCTTGTCCCTTCCTGCACTGCAGGCTTCAGACGCGCGCGGCAGCGTCCCGAAGGCCGCGGCTGGCGACGCGGGTGTAAGGTCGCTCCGACCCGACCTGGCTCTGCCCGAGGAGCCGCAGCTCCCGAAGACGCGTCCCGGGCGTGGATCGAGGGCTGTGCGGGCTGCCTGCCCCTCTGCACCGAGCGGAGGTAAGGTCCGGGAAAGGGCGCGGGCCTGCACGCCGGGGCCTTTGGACCGGGCGCGGTCCCCACTGGCCTGTCCTCCCTGCCTTGTCGCGGGACTTCTTGTCGCGGGGCTCGCTGATTGTCCCCGGGGTTTCCTGGCAGCCCGACCAAGCACGCCCCCCTCCCCCGCCGTCCCCGGTTCCTGATGAGGCTCGGAAGCCTTGCAGGCTCGTCCTCTTCCAGGATCAGAAGGGCAGGGGCTGGCTTTGGCTTCTCACTCAGATCTTCTGGCTTTTCTTCCCCGCTTCGTGATCCACAAGCCTCTGTCTGTTTATCGGGTGCTTCTCAGAGTTCCAAAGCTGCATACCTGGAAGACCCCCAGGATCCCCAAAAGTAACTTTTTCCTTTCTAATAGAGGTTCCGCTCTCCACCCGAGTTCTCGCAGGAATTCGGCAAGGCCCGTGGTTGCCGTGCACAGTGCAGTGGGAAAGTGTCCTTGGGCTCCCGCCTAGAGATGGCACAGTAAAGTGCGTGGACAGGCGTCCGTGTTCTCGTGCTTTGTGTGGGCTCGGTTTATTCATCTGTGAACCAGATCTGCCTATGCGAGGGGGTGGTGGTGGTGTTTTGATAGAGAAAAGGTCTAATCTCGGGGATGCACTTGAAACAAAGCTCACCTGTGTCAAATGGATGCAGGGCGAGACTGTGGACCCCCATGCTGTTTCAGCTTTTCAGTTGAAAGAGTTACCAGGCTCGTAGCCTGGTTGCAGTACGGTGGTAACATGTTTGCTTAACATTCCTAAAGCCCTGGGTTTGGTTCCTAACGCTGCAGCACCAAAAATACCACAGCCAGAATCGGTTAGCAGGTTCATTCTTTTTCCATAGTAGTTTCTGAAAGTGCCTTTTGAGTATTTGAGTACTTGTCTTCCTCCTTCCATCTTAAGGGGCTCCAACTCCCTGACCCACACACTTTCTGTCCTCTACATGGCCAGCTGCTGTTGTCATTTGGCTTGTAATGTTTTTCTGGGTCACTTGTTTTCTGCTCTCTCAATAGCTTGAAATCGTCTCAACTAGGAAATCGGTTTATTTGTCTTTTTTCAGTGTGGCAGAATTCAAAGTTGAATATAAAATGATAATCTAATTCCATTTTGCTTTTCCACTTCACTGGTTAATGTAAACGATTTAGGTAAAGCTTTCCGACACTGTCCCATGACTAGAATTAATGGAAGTGTCCATTCTCAAATTGCATCAGGAGATAAATTCAACGGCCAGACCCCAGGTTCTGTCGCGCTTGTGTACTGGCTCTGGGCGGACTTGTTTCAGAACATCTTGTGCCTGGAACTAGCTTAGTGTTGTGGCAGACATGGTGTCTGTAGCACAGTGCTGGCATGTGGTTGCAGTTTCAGGAATGCCACACTTAGATTTGTTAAAGGCCCAAGACTTACTAAACTCTTCAGTTGCCTTGATTACATGCCGTTTGCTTAGAAAGGAATTGAGTTTTAGCTATTCATATTAATACTTTTTGACTATCATTCCCTCCCCTCCACCCTTTGAATGTGTAGTCCTTGGCATATGCAAGTTTTACCCATGCAGCAAAAATTCTTAACTGAGCTATGAACTCCCAGTACAGCTTAAGGGCTGGGCCATAGCACAGTGGTAGGGTAATTACCTAAACCCTAGTTGGACGCCCAGTACCAGAAAAATAAGAAAGCAATTAAAAAAACCCACCTTTAAATAGGATGTGCATTTTTTTTTTTTTGTAATCTGGTAGGTGTACTGCAGTATGTGTTATAATGGATCTCAGAAGAAACCAGGTTGGGAGTTTGTAAGGATTTAATTTAATGTTATCTATCTATCTATCTATCTATCTATCTATCTATCTATCTATCTATCTATCTTTCAAGACAGGCTTTCCCTGTGGCTTTGGAGCCTGCCCTGCAACTCGCTCTGTAGACCAGGCTGGCCTTGACCTCACAGAGATCCACCTGCCTCTGTCTCCTCAGTGCTGGGATTAGAGGTGGAATAACTTAATTTTTTAATGTGTGTTTTTGAGACAGGCTTTTACTATGTGTTCCAGGCAGGCTGTAAACTGGCTGTGTAGCTCAGGTTTGCAGTAACCCTCATGCCTTCTTAGCCCAGCCCCACCCCCAGTTGTTAGCATTACAGGCATGTACCACCACACCTGACCAGTTTTTGTTGTTTATTTCTTTTTACTGAACTGGTAACTGTGTTTTCACAGTAAGTTCTCATTTCAGATATTTCAAGATACATACAATCCACTCTTTGTCCTCCTTCCTCTACCCTCCTCTCTCCCATCTAGTCTGCTGGTTTTGCTGTGTAGCTCAGGCTGATCATTTTATCCACTAGGTAGCTCAGACTCTTACTTCAGAATGCTGAATGCTTGGATTACATGAATGTGCCCAGGCTGGCCTCAGACTCACCGAGATTGCCTCTCAAATGCTAGAATTAAAGGCACACGCCACTACAGCTAGCTGATAAAATATTGTTTCTAATTAAACTTTTCTAAAGAATTTTTTTCTGTGACTGTTCATGTGAAGTTCTTCACAGGACTAGTGACTTATTTGTGGGTTATGGTTTTCTGTTTTAATGTGTCTGTGCACATGTGAATGCCATTGTCTGTGAACCCCATAATGGTTAGAGGTCAAACCCTTTTCCTAGGGCTTTCCACCCTCTCTATTTGAGACAGTTTGTAACGCGAAAAATAAAAACCCAGAGATTGATATTGAGGTTCAAGCTTCAAGCTGAAGATCAGAGAAGCAAAGCAGCCAAGCCATTAGCTCTTACATTTACCTCAGACTGAAGGGATGTCCTGTCTCCACGTATCCTCAGAGTGCAGTGCTCTCCACCAAAACAGTCTTCTACAGAGCCATGAGCTCTGATTGGCTAGACTGCTGGCTTGCTAGCTGGGTGTCTACCTCTTCCCCTGTTCTCCCCCAGTGCTAGGGTTACAGATGTGAGCCATTATTCCTGACTTTATATCGGTCTTAAAACCAGTTGACTTGTTTCATTGATAGTCACATCCTGCTAATTCATAATCATATAAACTAAACTCTTACTTGTGAAAGGGCCTCACTGTAGCCCAGGCTGGCCTAGAACTTACTATGTAACTGTAGCCGATCTAAACTTGCGTTAGTCCTCTTACCTTAGCCTCATGCCATGGTTACTTGTCTTATTATTGTGATGGAATATCTGACAAAAGCAACTTAAGGAAGGAAAGGTTTATTTTTTATTAAAAAGATTAATTTTATTCTTATGTATGTGCATGTATTTCAGCCACGAGTAGAGGCCAGGAGAGTGTCGGATCTCCTGGAGCTGGAGTTTAGGCAGTTATGAGCCATCTAGGTGCTAGGTGCTTACTTTCCTCTGGAAGAGCAGCAAGCCCTCTTACACTGAGGCATTTTCTGGCTCTAGGCTGGGTTTATTTTGGCTTATGATTTGAGGTACAGTCCATTGTGGTGGAGAAGTCAAGGCAGCAAGAGCTTGAAGCAGTTGATCCCCTTGCCGCTGCAGTTGTGAAGTAGAGAGGAATGACAGCTAGCAGTCCAGCTTTCTACTTTTTCATGCACTCTGAGACCCTAGCCCAGAGGTGCTGCTTACAGTGGGTGGGTACCCCAGATAACCTTATCTGGACAGTTCTTCATAGACATATCCAGAGCCTTGTCTCTTTGAGATTCTAGATCCTGTCAATTTGACAGTATTAGCCATCATCTTTTTTTTTTGTTTGTTTTTTGTTTTTTTGGTTTTTCGAGACAGGGTTTCTCTGTGGCTTTGGAGGCTGTCCTGGATTAGCCATTATCTTTACAAATTGTGAAACTAATTTGAGTTGGATAGCTCTCCAACTAGGTGCTTTAAAAGGATAGGAGATCTAAGCCAGGTGTGGTGGTGCACAGCTTTTATCCCAGCGCTCCGAGGCAGAGGCAGGCAGATCTCTGAGTTCGAGTCCATCCTGGTCTACAGAGTTTCAGAACAGCCAGGGCTACACAGTGAAGCCCTGTGTCCAAAAAACAAAAACAAATAAAAACTAGATAGGAGATCTGGTGTCCAAAATGAGGAGAGTAATAGGTTGTCGTTGTTCGTTTTTGTACCTGAGGCGGGGTGGTGGTGGGGTGGTGGTGGTGGTGTGGATTAAGAAAAGAAATAGACAGGTGACAAGGGAGGGCATCCAGTGATTGCTGAACCGCCCATGTTTATTGTGTACAGTCTTTTTAAACTCCCATCAAAAGAGGGCGAGGAAGCAATAGACTTCTTTACCAATATACAAAGAACAAGCAAGCGTAATTACCTTCTCAATACCCCACACATCAAGTAACTGTCTCCCAAGTTAAGTATTCTATTGTTCATGCAGGACATGCAGCGACCACATCCTAGGCCAGTCATCCTGCTGCATTCACATCTTAGGCCAGACATCCTGTTGTTCCGTCTTGGAAGGGCAGGCAAAAACTCTCTGAAGTGGAGCCATTTCCACAGTAGGTTGGGTTTACTTTCAGGACTCCCGTGGGCCTAGTGTTCTAGGTTTGCCTTTTTGACTTGTTCTAGTAGTATTTTACTGCTTTAAATTGGAAGAATTTTTAAATCCTCCTCATATCTTTATTCCTAGAGGTAAAACCATCTTAAAAAATGCTTAAGGTGGAGGGCTGGGGAAATGGCTCAGTGATTAAGAGCACTTGCTGCTCTTTCAGAAGATCTAGGTTCAGTTCCTAGCACCAACATGGCAGCTCACAACTGCCTGCATCCCTGTTATGGGGATCTGACACTCATCTGGCCTCCCAGGACACCAGGCAAGCACATGGTTCACAAACATACATGCAGACAGACACTCACATGCATAAAATAAAATAAATAACCTTTTAAAAATTAATGGGCTGGAGATGGTTTAGTGGTTAAAACACTTGTGTTCTTCCAGAAGACCAGGATTCAAGTCCCAGCACCAATACAGTGCTAACACTCTAGTTAGGAGATTGGTTTTAGGGTTCTTTTGTCTTGTTGTTTTCATTCTCTTTTGCACA